GAGGAGGCACCGGGTCTGGAGCAGCAGAGATGATGCTCTTTCAGTCATCTTTCTGCACTTGGGGCTTTTTGAGCTCTCTTGTGGCAGCAGTTGATAATTGTCACTCAGTTCTTTCTCTCTTTCTTCCTCGTTTTCCCCTCTCCCTTTCTTCCGCAGCTGCCCCTCACGGGAGGCAGGAAAAAGGTTGACATTAAATCAAATAACTGCTCTGGTTCCTGGCACAGAGCACAGCACATTGCAGTTTGGAGACCTAGATAGAGCAGGGAAAATTAATAAAATACATATTTATTTTTTGGGTTCTCTCAGCTCTTTTTGTTTAGTTTTTCGTTTATTCCCGGTGCCTCAGAAAGCTGGAGGAGCAGCCAAGGCGCTGGTTGCTGGCGTCAGACTCCTTTGGAAATCATCTCTGGATCGTGCTTTGCCCTTGCTATGTGGTCAGTATGAGAAGGGATTTCTCCAAGTCTAGGGATTCTCCCGTGCCACGTTAATCTTCAGGAGCTGATTTTTTATTTTTGAGGCAGTGTTTAGATCCCAGCCCAGCGACGGCTGAGAGCGATGCCTATCGAGGGGCAGCACCAAGCCCCCAGCAGCTCTTGCTGTGGCCCTGTGGACCCCTGCCCACGCCGCAGAGAGAAAGAACCGTCAGCCCCATGGGGAGTGATGAGTAACTCTGATGAGTAACTCGATTGTTGGCTGTCCCCAGGACTGATGCACTGCAGACATCTCACAGCATCGGGCTGTGTCTTGATGAGAGTGAGATTCAGTGCTGGAAGGAAAAGAGCAATAGGATCTGACAGAGATGCTCCAAGGTGTTTCTTTTTGCTGTTCCATTCAGCTGATCCTGTATTTCTGATAAAGGGAGCGGCTGCACACACGAGTGTGCGATACCCTTCTCCCACACCATAAGCCCAGCTTCTCTGTCACTCCATATTTCAGCTATTTTTACGGTGTCAGGCCATGAGCAGCCAACGGGACGCAGCATCACTTCACTGGTAGGGCTAGTCAGGATGCTTGCCAGTTCCTAACTTAATATTCTGTTAACAAAATAGTTTATTAAATTAATACTCACCCTGAAGTCCTGAATGTATTGTTTTCTGAGTTTTTCACCTATTCTGTGGTTTGTATCACTGACTCTCCATTTTCCGTGGCTCGCTGGCCCAGCAGTGTGCTGGTGCTTCTCTGTAATTGGATGACTGAAGTGTTTTAAACCGGAGAACAATGTGTGTGTCAGTTTGTAGGATGAATTTTTAGGCAGTTAATCAATTCAGGCTGAAATTCTTTGGGGATCTGCAGACATTTTCACAAATTCCTGGCAGATGTTGCGATCCCAAGAGATGATGGATAACGTGACCCCGGGTCCGTTTGCTGATTGGCGTCAGGTTTTGTTTGCTGAAATCTGGGGCTCTCGGTTATACTTCATCTGCTTCACTTTGGGATCAAACCCTGTTGCTCCTATAGTGCATGTTTTTCATTAAGTGCCAGTTTTCGAACTTGTGAGATGCTGTATAAATACATACCAAGAGGCAGTCCCTAATTCAAGGCAGCAGAGCAGATGGGGAGAACAGGGAAAATGGGTTTGGAGCGGGATGGTGACTCGCTCCAGGGCAGGACACGGGTGGGGGCATTGCCGTGGCATCTCCTGGGTGTGTTGGTGGCACCATGGTGGAAAAGGCCGTCGGCAGGAGTGGCACCAGGAGCAGAGCTGGCAGCCCTGCCACCAGCACAGCCACCCTGTCCCTGTCCCAGGGAAAAGGGATCGTGGTGCTTTAAGGAGAGTGTCCTGGTCCTGCAGAGCCAGCGTTAAAAACTATCATTAGGAGCCATTGTATTTAAATTAGAGATAATCTTGGGGACAATGTGGGGAGAGGACGCTGGGTGGGACTGGGGAGAAAGCTGCAATTTCCCTGCCATTGTCACTCTGCTGTCCCTGATTGCCAGGAGCTGCTGCAAATCCCAGTGATTTACTGCGCCAGGCTGTAATTTGCACCACGTGCAAGGAGCCGAGTGTCACCAGGCTCCCTGTCACCAGCCCCATCAGGGCTGTGACGGGCTGTCAGCTGGGCGAGCTGCTGTGGCTGGGTGGGGGGATGATGCTGCCCGCATCCTGCTGCCCGCCTGCTCCTGTTCTGAGCATCACCGGAGCTGTGCTGGGGTGCAGCCAAGTGGTGCCACCTGGGGACATTTGGGACCTCTGATGCCTGGTTTGGTTTTGTATGTGATGTTCGTGTCCTCCTGGCTTCCCTAGGACCGAGTCGGTGGCTGAGAAGATGCTGACGAATTGGTTTGCCTTCCTCCTGCACAAGTTCCTCAAGGTAAGGAGGGATGGAGCTGAGCCCCTGCTGCGCTGTCCCACCCATCAGCCGTCCCGGGGGTGAATCTGGGTGTGAAGCCCTGAATTCAGTCAGACTCCAAGGCAAAAGGTGTAGCAGCAAGGCAGGGAAGCGGAGGTTTGCTCGGAGATGCCTGCACCTGGTTCTGCTGTGACATGAGCTGAGCTGAGCTCCGTGCTCAGCCTTGTGCTCCACCCTGGCCAACCTGCTGTAATTCCCAATTAACGGAGCTTCTGTTGCTTCCCTTGAGCACTGTTCAGAGACTTTCTTTGGGAGGTTTTCCACTCTTCAGTTTAACTTTCTCTGGCTTTGGTTTTGCCTTGTTTCACCCAGCCGTATTCTCCAGAGCACTCCAAGCTGGCCCCCCCGAGTCCTTGCACCGCTTCAGTACTTAGGGGCAATTCTCACATCTCTGTGCCTGGGTTTACATGTTTTTTAACTTTATTTTTGGTTTTGGAAGCCCCACAGAATTTGCTTCATGGGAGCCAACAATGAAATCAAGATCTCCGGTTCCTTTTTTTACAGCCATATAGAATCAGTAGAGGTTTCCCAAGCCAAAAACAACGTAGCCATGGAGCTCGTGGTTTTGGCTGTCCTCTGCAGGAGCTGCTGGGGGCCGAGCCTGGGTTGCACATGTGCTAAGGATTGAGTCAGCGGGACCGTGCCTCTGCTGAAATGGATCATGTGCAAAACCTGTCCACAGGCCAGTTGTCCTGGAGGATCCGCGCCTTCACCTCGGTGTTAGCTTTGCTGTCTGTCTCGTGTAGGAATGCGCTGGAGAGCCGCTCTTCATGCTCTACTGTGCCATCAAGCAGCAGATGGAGAAAGGTCCCATCGATGCCATCACGGGAGAAGCCCGTTACTCCCTCAGTGAGGACAAGCTGATCCGGCAGCAGATCGAGTACAAGACCCTGGTGAGTGAGCGCACTGGAAGCCGGTTTCAGTCCTCCCCCCTTGGGCACGAGCTGTTCCCACCTTCAGGCTGGTGACTAGGACATGGCCATGAAGTATGTTGCCAGCGCAGTAAAGCCTCATGCTGCCAGACCCATGCCCCAGCCGGGTCTGTCCCAAATTTGCAGGTACAAGCAGCCTGAGCTGAGGTTTTGCAAGGCAGGGTTTGAGCAGAGGGTTTTCTCTCCCAGTGCATTGGGCACTGCCTCCCCTCTAGCAAATAAAAGTGGGTATCCAGGCCTCCTGGCTTAATAGTTGTTGTAAAGATGTGCTAGATGCAGGAGCAATGATGCAAATAGGGATGCGGTCGGGTTGTTGTGACAGATGTGGTTCCAGTTCTCCTTGTCCAAAGCCCTTTGGAGCATGGTGTGGTTCTCCTTCCCTTCCAGATCCTAAACTGTGTGAACCCGGATAACGAGAACAGCCCAGAGATCCCTGTGAAGGTGCTGAACTGTGATACCATCACCCAAGTCAAAGAGAAGATCCTCGATGCAGTGTACAAAAACGTCCCGTATTCTCAAAGACCCAGAGCTGTGGACATGGACTTGGGTAGGAGCCTCCTGCCCCAGAGGAGGGGGGAGATCGGAGGGGTTGTCAGTGATTCTCCGTGGGTTGTGCAGAGAAAAACCTAGAGCTCAGGCTGCACAACGGCACAGACATTTCTGCCCCTAGAAAGCAGGGATGCTGCTCCTGGCAGGTAGGTTTTGAGTTCTGTGGGATCAGCTAATTCTCCGTTCACCACAGAGCAAATGATTCCCGAAGCCTCCTTCACTCTGCTGAGCAAAGCTGCTCCTCAGGGTTGTGTATCTTACTAGAGCTGGGGGGACAGAGGTGCTGGGAAGGTCCCGCAGCTTCATTTAGCCAAACACTGCAGAGCCCTCCGCCTGGGAATCAGGATGCTGTGCTTTGCTGCAAGAGAACCATCAGTGTGACCTTCCTTGTAAGATCTAAAAGCAGAATTTACAGTTCTCTGGGTTGCCCTTCCTGGGAGCTGGGCTTTTCCACAAGCCCATCTCTCCAGGAATTACTTGGGGCAGAAGGGGAGAGCGGTGGTTGGTGCCTGTTCCCTCTCTGAGCGTGCTGTCTGCCTGGTTTTTCCTCTGCTGCAGAGTGGCGGCAGGGCCGGATAGCTCGGGTGGTCCTGCAGGATGAAGACATCACCACCAAGATCGAAGGAGATTGGAAGCGTTTGAACACCTTGATGCATTATCAGGTAAGAAAGCAGCCCCAGCAGACGGCTCCCAGAAAGCTGCCAGGAGGGAAGAAAAGAAAAGCAGGAATTGAATTCCCAAGTATCTCACCTACCAAGGCAGGCAGGGAGGTGACGTTTGTGTGACAAACCAGAAGGGTTCGGTGTGCTTATGCCTTAGATGGGAAAGCAACCTTGACATGGATCTTAAAGAAACCAGCAGAGTTGAAAATTGGCTAAATTAAAACCTGCAGCCGTGCCGGTGAGATGGAGGGAGCAGAGGAGAGGGCTGAGCTGTCACTGCTGCAGACGCGGGGCTGGGGAGGGATGGCACGGGGGGCTCTGAGACAACCAGGAGTGCAGCAGGGGAGGAAGAAGAGTCTCTGCCTTCCTCCAAAGCTTTGAAAATGCCACGTGTTCGGATGTTCTGATCCAAAGCAGTGGGCTGCAGTGGCAGCTCATCCCTGGTACTCATGATCTTCCTACATGTTGACTCTTGAGCATCGTGCAAGAAGGAGTGAAGCAGGGAAACGGGACAAATACAAAAAAAAAAGTCTTCCAAGCCAAGTAATGCGAGCTTTGCCACTAAAGTCATATGAAACGAAGCTAGACAGTGGAGATGCTCTATTGTGCATCAGCCAGGGTGGGCAAGGTGACCCAAGAAATTGCTCCATCCTTAGCTTCTGCAGCTTGTGTGCCCCAGCCCCGGCTGCCCTGGGTCGGCATGCGTCTGTGAGCAAGAGCTTCTCACGGTGTGCGAAAGGTGGCAAGAGAGGTAAAGACAGAGCCGAGGAAGGTTTGGTTAGAGAGAATCCAAGGCTTTTACTCAAAGCCTGTCAGCAGCAGGGGATAACCGCACAGATTGGGACCTGTAACCTACTCCTGTCCATCACTACCCACGCAGAAGTGTTTAGTATTTAATCTGGCATCTTTCCCTGTTCATACACCATCTCAGTCCGTCAGCGTGGCTCCTGCTGTGTAAGTTGAACGTGAGCCAGTGTTGACAGGAGCCATATAATCAAGGAGTGAGGCAGAGAGAATGGCATCAATATGCAAAGTGCATGTAAAAACCACCTCCAGGGTCAACTTTCCCCAGCAGCCCGAAGGGTTTAAGCACAGATTACCATAAAATGTCATAGGTGTTGTGCAGACGGATTCCATTGTTCCTAAAATCTGTTTTACCCGATGGTTGCAAGGGATTAACCAACATGCAGGGAAGCAGCGAGACTTTATTATGCCTTGATCTTTAAAAGTCATCTTCAGGAAGTCGCAAGCGAAAGCTGTGTTTGTCTGATGGGTGTGAGGGGAGGCAGCACTTTCGTTTCAGTGCCTGTGGGAAAACCCAAGCCACAAGTTTACCCTTAAAACAAACAAAATCCTTGCAGCACTCAAGATGCTGCAGCTATTCCTGCCATTTGAATGTCAGTTCTGCTCTGGAGTAAAGTACAAGTTTGCTGCCAAACATCTAACCAGGTAGCCACTGCCTGTGTCTCTCCGAGCTCTGGCCCGAGCTGCTTCAGCCGTAAAGAAGCCAAGTGCTCTGCTCTGCAACAGAAATCTTATCAAGGCAGGGCTTTTGCCAACAACTAACAGCTTTTTTTTTTTTTTTTAATATATATTCCTACCAGGTTTTTTTTCTGAGTAATAAATGTTTTTACTAGGTATCAAAAATACAGATGCTCCAAGACTGCACAGTAAAACAAATACGTGGGCAAAGGCACAGCTTGGAAGAGGGTACACAGTCATTGGAGTTCCAAGCACTCCTGTCTCCCCATTTTATCAGGGGGTGTTACATATAATACAGGTGTGGTACAAGCCATAAAAATGAAATGTAGATTTTTCCAGCTTCTGGAGGACTAGTGAGGATGATTTCTAAATTTCTAGAAAAACTACAAGCCAGCTCTGGAAAACTCTCTCCATCTTTTGTTCAGAGCTGTCTTGTCTTTATCCTTGGTCAGATGCCATCTGCTTTTATCTGCAGATCTGAAAGCAAAGCGATCTCTGGGTTTGCGCACAGTGGTTGGAGATGCACAGCCCATGTTTCCATCCACTAACACCAGGCGGTTTGTAGTATTCTGGAGAGGCAGCGTCACCTGGGAGTAAGCACTGGAGCAAGGACCAGAACCCACCTGGTCCTCTCAGCATTGCCCCTGCTCCAAATCCTGGGGTCCGTTTGCTCCCCAGCCCCGCTCCCTGCGGCTCGAGCTCCTGCTGGGGACCAGAGCAGCCTCCTGCTCGCGGGGCTCTGGGGTGGGCTGGGGATGCTCTGCTGACCACAGGTATTTAATTCCAAGAGTTTCTCAGCTCCACACTTGGCTGCTGGGTTTTGACACTCTTACGTTTGTTTTCTACATGTTTAGGATGATAAAAATACAATCTATATCTGCATCAACCGACAGAATGGATTTTTCCCGGGAAGCCTGCACACACAAAAGGCAGATTGGATTTAAAAAGAAATATTCATCTTTCTGTAATATTTTTGAACCACTTTATAGAATTATATAGGGAACTGTAGGCCTGCTGCTTATTTCTTCATTTATAGAAATAGATGTGTGGGTTAAATAGGTTTAATTCTTTGTTAAATTCTCTGGAGCTTTTAAAGTGAGTTGAAGGAATTGTGTTACATTTGTGTAGTATCCTTGTGCTTTTATACCTATTAAACTCCATGGGAGAGTCTCACCCCGCATGGCTTTACTTAAGAAAAATGAAACACGGATTTTAACATCAAATGATTTCCAGTGGCCCATGCAGGGTTAACTCCGAGGCAGCAGAGCACGGATACCTGTCAGCCAGCGCAAGCCTGGAAGGGCCCAGAGACTAGAAGACTATTTTAAATGAAAAATGAGAAGCAGAGAGGGAAGATTTGTGTGGAAAATGAGATCTGGGAGCTGCGGGTGGTGTGGCCATGGGCTGGCATCTTTGCTGCATCCTCGCAGCATCTTCATGGCATCCTTGCTGCATCCTCATGGCAACCTCGCTGCATCCTTGCAGCATCCTCACTGCATCCTTGCAGCATCCTCGTGGCATCCTCGCTGCCCCACGCAAATGCAGCCACATCTGGGCTGCCCCTGCTCCAGCTGTTATTTTTCTTTCCTTTAAGGTGTTCTGTGCAGCACATTTGCAGCTCGTAGAAGAATGGGAATATGTATCAAGCTGTAAAACAGCCAGGCGGCTTCGCAGGCGTCTCCGGGGTTTTATGGGAGCGTGGCAGCAGCAGAGCGAGATGGGAAACAAACACGTGTTACATCTGATGCTAATTTGCACGCTGGTATTTTTCATCTGCCAAGAACCATTCAACCCAAAATTTAGAGAGTGAGAGTGCTCTGTGTGTGCGTGTGGAATTTTTAATGCCTCTCTCCCAGCTAACCACAGCCCTGGGGGAGGCAGAGCCCGGCACGGCGGCCGGGGAGCACCCTGGGCTGCTGGCACGCTCCGGCTTCTCCCCGGCGAGGTTGAACCAAAGTGGCAGCTAATGACAGCCCGAGAAAAGAACATCACCACTGGTTGTTCCTTCCGTTGACTTAATAAATGGGATGAAGTGAGGCAGGAGCAGAAGAGGAAATAACAGAGGTGTTTGAGGTCTTTTGCTTTGAAATACCTCACTTTTGGACGGTGAAACACGAGTGGTTATTATTTCCCCTATCACTAGCAATAATAATAACTCGCATTTATATGAAACCTTTCATCTGAACAGAACCCAGAGCCTCGGAGGAACACGAGGCAGCGGCGATCATTGTGTTCAGGTCACCTGGTGTACAAACTGCCCTTCTGCTGGTGGCGGGGGGGGGATGCTGGGGAGCAAAACCTTGCAGGACTCCTGGCAGCTAACGGAGGACTTAGTCCCAGAAGCGGTTTCTCCGGCCTGAAGAGGCATTTCTTTTGTACAGCTCCTCTCAGTGATTTGTTGGCTGGGCCCTGGAGGGTCCATCAGCTGGCAGGATGCAGCAGCTCCACTCTCAGCTCCATCGCCGTGCTGCACCACGGGCCACCGGCTCGAAACTAAAAGACACTCAGGCCCGTTCCCTGGGAACCTGCAGATTTTTAATTAAGGGAAATAAGTTAAAAAACTTCCAGTGACTACTAGATTTATAGGGAGGATAAAATTAAACATGGCTACTAAAATCTGCTGTAACAAAATCTTGTTAGCGCTAATGTTCATTTATAGTTTGACTTCCCAGCATTTAATTCTTTCTGTGGTGCAGGAGAGGGACTGACAATTTAATACCCTGAAAGATGGCTGTACGACTTGCTCAGCTGTAAATTAAACTTTTAAAGTTCGTAAAAATTGCTAAAATAAAAAATGGTTTAATAGGAATGTTTTATGGTCCATAACGTTATTATAGCTGTTTTATTCCCTCTGCATTGTTACTTTAATTGGATCACAACAATTCTTGAGATTCTCATTTTTAGTGGATAAAGTGCAATCTTAAATCAGAACGACCAAAACCATCTTTAATACATCTTTTGATTTATCACTTCTTGCCTTCAGTCCCTTGCTGCTACATGCAGAGCTCAGCCAGACCCGGAGCATCTCTGTGCGGGCTGCCCAGCGGGGTCTCCCCCTGTGCCCTCGGGACCCCCATGCTGTGCCCATGGGCTGGGTGCCCCGGGTGTTTCTGGATGTGCAGCCGGTGATCACAGTGTGGATGATGGATCTCGCTGATTTTTTTCATCTCTTCCTTTGCCTCCCCAGGTCTCGGACCGCTCCGTTGTGGCTCTGGTGCCCAAGCAGACCTCCTCCTACAACATCCCTGCCTCTGCCAGTATATCCCGGACGTCTATCAGCAGATACGGTAGGGGCAGGGTTAAGTGCAGGGACACGATGGCGTGTTGGGCGGCACTTCCCCCAAAGCACCACACCACATCGTCCAAAATGTCATGTGCCAGACAGAAAAAATGTCTTTGGCAGCTTTTTTTTTTTTTTTTTTTTTTTCAAAGGGTTTTTTGTCTATTACGTGAGAACAAATGTTTTTGGCAGTTTTTTTTTTTTTTTTTTTTTTTGCAAGGGCTTTTCTGTCTATGAGCAGAGCAGCAAAAGGACTGGAGAAGCTGAGAGGAGGGAAAGGGCCAAGCACATGAGCAGCCTTTGGAAATGTGGGTCTTGGAAAAGCCCAGGGAAAGGTTTTTGGCTCAGAGGGGATGGATGCTGCGGAGCGTTCGGGGGTTCCCGCTGCAGGAACGCAGCTTTATGTCCCTTGCACGTAAGCAGGGCTGCACGAAAGAAAAGCCAGAATCCTTCCTCTGTTTCTTCTCTAAGTGGAGGATCCTGAATTGTCAGCTAATGGGTCAAAAGTGGGGAACAGCAATCTGAACTTGGCGTGCTCGGCTGTGCACACCTGGGAATTCAGCATTTGCATAACAGCAGGGCTCAGCACTTTGCAGAGGGTCCCTGAGGGCGCTGCAGCCTGAGGAAATGAGCCTGCGAGGTGCCAGGTGTGCGGTTATAGCACTAAATCCACAATAATCGTAATAATATACTTCCATAAAAGGCAGGAGTGGCAAAATCTCTGGTGCGCTCATCTTTCATTATCTTTCACTTTACAGAGTGTTTTACAAACGAGAGGGCTCCTGACAAACCCCTCTCCTTCTCTTGTTTATAGCTCCCAAAATAATGTTGTTTTTTCCTTGAGCAAGGTTTCTGAGGAGCTGTCTGCAGGAGAGTCTTTAGGCAAAAGCCAGGAGAAAAGGCATTTCTCCCAGCAAGGTGTAACCCACCCAAGTGCCCAGCAATTCCCACGCTTCAGGTGATGGAAAAACGGAGGCTGGGTCGCACAGCCTGAGTCCTCATTGATCTGTGTCAGATGGAAAAGCTTTTGCAAACTACCAATATGAGGCATCATCGCTCACGTTAAGATAAATACTTCTAATTGTGCAGACAGAATTTAAATGAGATACTTATTTACTCCCCCCATTATATATCAGCACAGAGCTATGTTCAAAAATAGAATTACTGGATGCTTCCCTAGCTGTCCCCCTGTCTGTCTCCTTAATTATATCAGTTGGAGTGCTCATTTCTCTAAGCCTTAATCGGGGATGAAAATCTAGCTGGTTTGGTAATGACTTGCATATTTTCCCTCGGCTGATTTACGATTGATCCCCTTCCTCTCGATGAGGAGGCTGAGCAGCGAATTGGAGGCTAAACTTGAGAAAAATGCACGAGTTCCCAGAGAACAAAGAAGTGAAAGGAAAAAACCCAACACCACACTGCTCAGCCCCAGGTTTTGGCTTGGAGATGCCATTGATGGGATCCAGGGAGGCACGTTCTTTGGGAAGTTGAATATCACAGAATCACAGGATGGTTTGGGTTGGGAGGGACCTTAAAGCCCATCCAGTGCCACCCCCCTGCCATGGGCAGGGACACCTCCCACCAGCCCAGGTTGCTCAAAGCCTCATCCAGCCTGGCCTTGAACCCCTCCAGGGATGGGGCATCCACAGCTTCTCTGGGCAACCTGCTGTTTGCCTGGTATCTTTGGCAAACACCAAGTTTTGCTGGTGCCTGGGTGCTATGACATTCCATTGCCCCATTAAAAAGCCTATACAGATGATTTTGGCACGAGCAAGCATGACAGCATCACTGAAAAGAGACAGGGAGATGAAAAAGGGGTTTGCTTTGAGCGTGACCAACTTCTCTTGCTGTCCTTCAGACTCCACGTTCCGCTACACCGGCAGCCCCGACAGCCTGCGCTCCCGGGCCCCCATGATCACCCCCGACCTGGAGAGCGGCGTCAAGGTCTGGCACTTGGTCAAAAACCACGATCACGGAGACCAGAAGGAAGGAGACCGGGGCAGCAAGATGGTGTCTGAGATCTACCTGACCAGGCTGCTAGCTACAAAGGTAACTGCCACGCACAAAATTCGTGTGGGAAATGCAGAGGGAGGTCGATCTCGATGCACTTGCCGGGGGTCCTGTGCAGTCCCTAGGGATGCTGAGCATGTGGGGACAGACCCTGCCAGGCTTTCCTACGCCCCTGGGGTTGGGTGGCTGCTGGAGCAGCGACAGAAACACAGCCCAGGTTTGTTCATGCTGCAAGGTGATTGCTGCAATACTTCATTCTTCTGCGCAGTGTTAAAACCCAAAGAGTTGGAGAGACGCAGCAGTGCCTGTAAATCTTTAATTGGTTTCCTTGGCCAGAGTTTTCCTGCCTTTTACCGTGTGTTCATCACTGTAAATAACGTAGATTTGCTTTTGAAGGCAAAAGAAATTGTTTCAGGTTAGAAATAAAGCGTGAGTGGAGCTGTGAGGAGCTGCAGGCTGGAGCCTTCCCCTGGGTCCCCCCCCAGCACAGTCAGCATTCGGGGGGACCCCGACCGTGCCGATTCCTGGGGGGTCCGTGCAGCACTGTGCAGGGCCGGGCAGAGCTGGCAGCACCATCTGCCATCCCCTCCTGCCGCCGCGGCTTAACCGAGCGTGTGCCCATCCCTCCCGTCACCTTCTCGGTCACTGCTCCCATCAGGGCACGCTGCAGAAATTCGTGGACGACTTGTTTGAGACACTGTTCAGCACCGTGCACCGCGGCAGCGCGCTCCCGCTGGCCATCAAGTACATGTTCGATTTCTTGGATGAGCAGGCGGATAAGCACGGCATCCACGACACGGACGTGAGGCACACGTGGAAGAGCAATTGGTAAGAACGGGGGAGGAGGGTGGTGGAAGGGGGGGACAGAGCTGAGCATTGAGCAATTACTTGTGTCCTGGGGAAAAACAAGAGATAGGGACGAGCTTTGGGAAGGCTGGAGCAAAGTCCTATAGCTCCATGAGATGTACCACGAAGCCATGCTAATGCTTTTCAGCCGTGTGGCTTGAATACCGTCACAGGCTGGGAGCGGGGAGCTCAGCGAGCGGCTGCACCTTCCCCGTGGTTTTGGGCAGCAGCTGGAATGGGGGGGGCAGGGCCCCCCCCCCCCTGCCACCAACACGGGCTCCAGCCACGTTCAGCCTCCTCCGAACGATGGGATCTCTCACAGCTCTGCCTCCACTGTTATTTCAGGATTAAAAGCTCCGTGGGTCAGAAATTTACCTCTGCAAGGAAGGAAAAAAGCACAAGAAATGGTTGCTCCCTGAAGACTTTGTGTTTTCCCCCCACGTCCCTCGTGGTTTGGAAAGCTAATCATCACAGCTGCAAAAGCTGGGTTCCCACTAAGGCTGTGGGAAGTGAAAAACAATTTACTGAAAGCCTTAAAAGAAGGAGTTATTAGGATCAAAACTCTAGAATCACACGATGAGACTTCTTAAAGCAGTAACAAAGCGCTGAGCAGCGGAGTTAGTTCTGCCAGAGCCACCGGACCACACGAGCCCTGGTCCTGCCTCCTGCCCCAGGGCACAGGGGGCTCAGGAGGAGGGCGAAAATTTGGGCTCTGACCTAACAGCTCTGCTGAGCGCTCTGGGCAGCTGCCACCTTCCCAGAAAGGGGATTTTGGTGGGGAGATGGGAGAAGGCATATGCCACCGGAGCCGGTCAAAGCAGACGGGGGCATGGAAGAGAAGTGGGGTGATGGGGGGTGAGGGGAGCTGGCACTGACGGGGACGTGGCTGAGCTGGTCGTGTGCAGCGCAGCAAGGGTTAAGGCTGAAGCCTTCGGTGCAGCTAGCTGGAGAGACAGAGAGAGCTGAGACTTGAAAGGTAATAGAAAGCAGCAGCTGGTTTTTTGATCCTGCCATACAGCCGAAGAAAAAAGGAATAATAATTCCCCTTTGATTGCAAAGGCCTCGGGATCTGGGGACAAAGCCTCTGATGCTGCTGCACCGCTCACAGACGATGGACCGTGGAGTGGTCGGCCGCCCCCTTCCCCCGGCTCAGCCCTGTGCTGCAGACCCTCACGCTAACGAACGTGGTTTAATGGGCTCCTCACGGAGCTGCTCACCCGGTGCCACCGATCGTGGCTCCGCTCTGCCCTGGCACAGCCAGCCTGCCCTTGGCGCTTGCTGCCCACCCCATTCCCTCCTCTGTCCTGGGCAGGATCAGACCCCGGAGCAGCTCCTGGGGCACACGCAGCAGCAGTGTCCAGCCCAGGTATAGCAGGACCCATCACAAGCAGTCTGGGAAGGACTGGGCTAACTGGTGTTTGATGGATCTGGCCCAGATCCTGTTCAGATTTTTTGCTGCTTCCCACCATTTGTATTCTGCTTGGGAGCACAAGCCGCAGCAAACATCCTTTCCTAGCCTTTGTCTTCACATTTAATTTCATTTCTTGATTTCCCTGCAGCCTCCCTCTGCGATTCTGGGTGAACGTCATCAAAAACCCCCAGTTCGTGTTCGATATCCACAAGGGTAGCATCACGGACGCCTGCCTCTCGGTTGTGGCTCAGACCTTCATGGATTCCTGCTCCACCTCAGAGCATCGCCTGGGCAAGGATTCCCCCTCCAACAAGCTGCTGTACGCCAAGGACATCCCCAGCTACAAGAGCTGGGTGGAGAGGTGAGCGGGGCGGCATGTGGGGCGCGGGGCTGGCCCTGCCCCAACCTCCTGCACCGGGCAGCTTTGCTCTCGGTGGCCATCGATGCAGCAGCGTGGCTCTTGCAGCGAGCTGGTAGCACAGCTCAGCACCCCGAGCATCACTGCTTTTATTTTCAGCTTCTTACAGACCAGGATTTGATTTTGCTAGGTGTAAGCATAAAGCAAAATGATCTCCTTTTCCCTGCAGAGCCTAGTTTAAATCCCAAGGAGAAGAGGGGCATTTTGTGTTTCTCATGGTTCCCCTCGGCTCTTCCTTCCCGCAGGTATTACGCCGACATCGCCAAGCTCCCCGCCATCAGCGACCAGGACATGAACGCCTACCTCGCGGAGCAGTCGCGCCTGCACTCCGCCGAGTTCAACATGCTCAGCGCGCTCAACGAGATCTACTCCTACGTCAGCAAGTACAGCGAAGAGGTGGGTGTCCCCAGGGTGGGCGCAGGGGTGGTGGGTCGGGCAGTGATCCCCCTCACTGCTGCCCAGGGCTCCTTCCTCCTCCTTGTCCTTGCTGCAGCCCCGCCGTGGCTTGCACCACCCTGCCCCGCGCTGTTCTGTGCGTGCACAAATTGGTTCGGGTTCTGGCCGTGCTTCCCAGGAGGACTGGGATCTAAAATATCGTGGGAGCAACTGTGTTCCTCAGCCTTGGTATCCGCCCAGTGCAGTCCACTCCTAAATGCAGCAGGAAATCATGGTGACCCAGGGAAGCTCCCCAGATACATCCCTGTCTTTTGGGAACAGCGCGGTACAAATCCCATGTTGCAGCGATGCAGACTCCTGTTTGCAAAGAATCCCTGGCAGCGGGAGCTCCTTTAATGAACGCATCACTTGAAACCAAGTTCTCGCCATCTGTTCCACCCCTTCATTGCAGTGTAAGAAGAACCTATTTTGCAATTACATCCATTAAAAGGAAGAGATTTGTCATTTAATTGCATGTATGCGTTTGTGATACAATGCCACAGCTACTTTCCTATTAGGGTTTTAAAAATCTCATAACTTCCGTGCTAAATGAGACAAGGAATGTGTAGTGCACGGTACACGAGGAGGAGCGATCGTGGTGTGCAGGTACCATGCACCGAGCGGTCCAACAACTCAACGAGCACGGCCGCGGCACGGCGAAGCGCTCGTCGCCTTGCTTTGCCATCCGCTATTTAAGTTTCGCACATCCACGTTTCGAGTTGCTCACATCTTGCTGCCCACCCACTTCTACCACCCCCTCTCACAAACTGACTTTTTCTTTTATTTTTGTCTCCCTTTTTATTTTTTCTGTACCAGCTCATTGGGGCTCTGGAGCAGGATGAGCAGGCGCGTAGGCAGCGGCTGGCGTACAAAGTAGAGCAACTCATTGGTGCCATGTCTTTCGAGAGCTGAAGAAAGGCGGCGGTGCTCACGGACGGCAAAGGGCAGAGGATCGCATGGACTCTCGGGAATTCAGAGGGAGAACAAGCAGGAAAGGTGCTGGACACATCGAAATACCAAGGCTCTTCTGGAGGGAGCAGAGACTGGCCCCAGGACTGACTGTGCTCAACACCATCTAGGATCTGGTCTGAAAAGGCAGGAAGAGTAAAAGACAAAGCATCTCAATCCAAGTCAAATCAAGAGGGATCATTTTTTCAAGCATACATGGAAAGAAGGAACCTGGAAAGTCTGGATGTCTACATGACTGCTGCTTTGCATGAAAATTGTTTGATGTATATTAGAAAATAAAACTTTATTTAAAGGTTTTTAAAAAAAAAAAAAAAAAAGGAAAGAAAAAAAAATAAATAGTGCAAAAACCACAGAGGCCACAGAGATAATCCTGGCAGCAAGGTTCAGCTCTGAATCCTGTCCTCGAGAGCCTCCCGGGGACGCGGCTCAGACACTCTGCAAACGGACTCGTACGCCAGTTGGGAAGTCTGGAAAACCGAAATCATCTTCTTTTTGGGATCTTATAACAAATATGAGCACAAGTTTGCACCACACCTTTTTACACAAGTAATATAGCAGTTTAGCCAGAAAATAGTTCAGTGGCTGAGTAACTTAGAGGCACTAGAAGGAACTTTACCCAAACTGCAAAACCATCAGATCATCCAGCCTGTCTTGAAATCCAGCTTTATCAATGTATTTATATAGTGTCAATATATATCTATTTTTTTTAAATCCCATTTACTGTTGAATGAGGAAAGGTCTGATTTTAAATGCTTTCCCCTTTCCCCGCCCACGTTGCTGGTTTCTGCAGGTACCATTCGAGCAGAAGCGTCCGGAGCTGGGGTGGAACCCCCTCGGCTGTGTGTTGCTGGTGGTATCTGGCAGTCGCCTCTGATTTCTTGCAGTAAACCCCACCAAGCCCCCAATGTTTACAGTGAGCGATACTTGAACAGACTCGACGTCGCGAGAGGAGCTATTTATTGCTGTTGTGTTTGACTTGCAGAGCTGATGGGCGCAGGCTCCCTTGGAGGTTCCCTGCCAGCATTTGCGGGGTCGGGCACGGGATTTGTATTTCCACTGGGGAGGGGAAAGAAATCTTTGCTGTAGGCAAGGGAAAACCTTAACCAGCACTCCACGGGCCAGCTAGTGCTGCTGTCTTGTCTCTGTCTCGGCGTCATGTTGTGATATTCGGTTCCTCGCTGGCCCCGACGGCACGTGTTCTTGTGGCCAGCGACAGGCAAATGTTTGTCAGTGTGATTTCTTTCAAAGACACCAAAGCGTATGTGTGTCCCTTTGTAGAGTGCCAGGAGGGGAAGGAACGCTGTAAATATTTCTCTCTGTTATAAATATTGATATTGGTGCAGGCTGCAGTGGGGAGGACAGGGTGATGAGGTCTGATGGAAGTACAAGGATTGACTGCAGGAGCTCGGCACCGGTAGCAAAATAGCTCCTGGCATCGGCTCAGCCCCGGCTGGGCAGTGCCGTGCCAGGCTGGGACCTTAGTTTGTAGCTGGTGTGTGTCGAAGGAAAATCCATGTTCATATCCATCCCCCTCCTCTGCTGTTCCTGCCCAGAGGAGCCTGGGAGGGTCTCCGTGGCCTCCCCGTGCCCTGGGAGAGCTGCCGGCTTTTGGGCTCCAGACACGGTCCCAAGGGGAGCCAGCAGCAGGGGAGGGGAGAAGCGAGCAGAGATACTCAGGAAACTTGTTGGTTTAATGACCCTTCAGTAAAAGCCATGCCAAGTCCGCTTTCTGGTGGTAATCCACTTGTGTGAGTTTCTCTGGGCCCTGTTAATACTCGGGAAGAAAATGCTAATGATCAACCTCGTGCAATAAGTTCTTGACATTTACAACAGCCTGAGCTTTGTAACCGGAGGGCTCGGATTTACCAAGATCTGGAGAGAGCCCGCAGAAACAGACGTACTGTCTGCCATCCCTTCCCAGGGTTCTCCTGCACAGTGAAGCTGATTGTAGAGACAGAAAATGTGCAAATGGCCAGGTGCCCTGTTCAAGGGGTGAAGGAGCCGTCATTGCAGCCGATAACCTGCCGTGCTCTTTGCTGGGGCGTGATAAGGGATTGTGGGGTGTCAGGGTTTGAAATCCTCCAGCTCTCATTTTTTGCTGGTTTCTGTTCCTCCGGTGAGTGATTTCCAGCTCTGTGTTCTAGTCCTGGTTGTTGTTCTGAGTATTCATATTCCAATCATTCACTGAATTTTTAACGGTACTCTGAAACCCAAAGAAAGCCCTCTGAACAGTTTCCAAGCACTTCCAAATATTAGTCTGAACAGTTATTTCTGTAAGATTCACAAAATATGAATACTGCCCAGAGCAAAGACCTGGCTGTTCATCGCTGTGGTGCTGGTGAACGTCTGCTTGCCCTGCAGCCCTTGTGGTTCTCTTTTCTTCACGTCTGTTTGAGAAGCCTCTTCCCTGGGAAAGGGCCCATAAACTGGGATTATCCTGGAAGGCAATGATGGGAGGGAAAAAGAGAAAGAATTGCAAAGCCCAGAGGGATTGGTTTGTGAGCAAGGATTGAAAGAATCCAACATGTCCCAGCTGGCTGAACACGGGGTCTGTATTCCATGAATACAGGAGAGCACTGAGGAGGGAAGGGGATAACTGAGGGTTTTTTTCTGTGCTGGGGGAGGAATTTGAGCAGAGGAGGAAAGGGAAAGCAGCAGGAGCACTTTGCAAACCGGTAAGCTTTCAGACTTTTGACTGACTTCCGAGGGGAGCAGCAGAACCATCTCTTCTTCCATCGGCTGAGCAGGCGTTGGGAGGATGGTGCAGGGAACGGCACGGTGCTGGCTGGAAGGGGCAGCCCATAAATAATCTGCCAAGCGTCTGCTTATGGTGGTTGACATTAATTATGGATCTTTACAGGCAATTATGTGGAATGAAGCAACATATCCCCTTGGGGCAAAGCTTGTGATCTATTGCCCTGTTTGCATCCAACTTTTCCGTTACTCCTTTGGGAAGATGAAGGCTCAGATCTCGAACTGGCATTTTGTTCACTCTTGCAGCAAACTGGACTTGAGGTTTGGATGGGAGGGGGCATTGACTTTGCCTTAGATGAAACGATTTCACATCCCTCTCATTGCCCCCTTCCTCCTGCAAGGCCGGTTGGTGTTTTGATTCTCCAGTTCGCTTCATTTCAGGTATTTCGACATCAAAGTGGGAGACGTCATTTTCCGGAATCTCTCTGCCTGGTGTCACTGCTTAAATAATTCCATTTGATCTTCTGCTCATGAGCTATCAAAGCACCCACTCCAAGGGGGAGCAAGGTGCTAATCAAATGCTTCTCCACCTTGAAAGCCTTTATTAAAAAACCATCTATAAGAGTGTAACTTGCCGGCAAGCTTGTCTCCACGCGAGCCCTGCTGTGGAGAGCCACAACACTGCAGCCCACCAAAGTTCAAAGGACGTGGACGTGAAGTGGTCCACACTTTGCCATAAAGGATGAATTTCTGTTTAAAGGGAGGCGGGAGAGATCAGCACGGCCAAAGTGCTGGAGCCCCAGTGGGATCCGGCATGGACCAGTCTGCAGCTGCGTGAAGATCCACCACGGGAAGCAGTGCTGGGAAACAAACCCCTGCCACGGCCTCGTGGCTCCTGGGCAGCATCCCAGGCAGAGGATTATCCCCAAAGGAGGCTGGATGTGGCCGTGCCAGACGGCGGTGCCTTCCCGCAGGGTCTCGGTGCTGGGACACAGTGGGGATGGCAAGTGCAGCCGCTCGACACGATGCAACAGAGACCTTCATCACAGCAGTGCCTTCAACACACGGTCTTAAAATCCTAACGGCCCATCCCCACACGCGTTCTCTCTCCTACCTTCAACTGGACTTCACCAAAAATGTCACAATGTAGGAAACAATGTGGGTGGGCACGTGGAGGACAAAAGCAAGAAGACTTAAAGCTCTGGCGTTGCGTTCCTGAACGCTGCTGGCTCCGAGCACCTCAGTGTGAGTGGTTTCAGTCTGCATGGAAAGGGTCAGAGCACTTCCCTCCTCCAGTGGGCACAACCTGCAAACACAGTCTTATTTCCAGAAGTCCCAAGCAGCCAGCAGGGATGAGGAGCACCAGCCTGCACGCTGCCTCACCTTGTCCCCAGGGCAGCAGGGTGGCAAAGGGCAGAGTCCCGGCACGGTCCCAGTGATGCTCGCGGCACTGTCCCAGCCTGTGCCTTGAGCCGGTTCCCTGGCAGGAGCCCAGCCACATCCTTGCCTGTCGCTGGCGCTTCTCCATCCAGTTTACAGTGCTGCCAGAGCTCACCTGTGGTGGGGACTCTGCTCGCCAAACTGAATGAAACTAAAATAGGCTGACTTGAATAAGCTGGGACATCAGGGAAAGCTCACGAGTGACTGTACCCTGGAGAGAAAAAAAAATGTTCAGAGAAGGATAAATAACTGACATCAAAGATGCATTAAAATGCCACAGAGCTTCAGCCATCCTATTCCAGAATTGCATCTGTACCGTAAACCGCAAGCCAATAACGCAGGGAGCTGCGATGTTGTATATAGTTGCGTTCTAGGTAGAGCTAGGTGAGCCGTCCCGTCTGGTCAGTGAATGTGTCTTCGGTGCAGACTCCTGCATCACCCCAGCCTCCTCCCAGGGCCACCAAAACCAGTGGGTTGGAGGCCAAAGGCAAGGTGCCGGTGACAGCTACGAGGCCACCCAGCACTCGTGTGGACAGGATGCTTTTTTTTTCTTTAATTAGACATTTGGTGGGGAAATAATCGGATGGAAAGATGCCAGTGTGCGCTGTGACGGAGGTGCCATTTGGGATCCGCTGAGCAACCCTGAATGTGCAGTTTCCATGTAGGTTGGTCAGATGAGTTTTGAAGGGGAGGAGGATGGGAGTCTTCAAACCGATTTTCGCCACGTGGAAGGCTTTGTGCAAAGCCTCTGTTCACCGTGAAAATTCCCCATCTTGGGGTGGTGGTCCTGGTCTGGGCAAGGCATGGCAGTGGGGCTGGTGTCCCAGCTGCAGGCGGTACCTGTTGCCTTCCCGACTTCCCCGCAGGCACGCGTGCAGCAGAAAGCGCTGTGTCCCCGGTACGTGCCCTGCAGCCCAGGGGTGGGAGATGGGAGGCAAAGGCAGTGGGGCAGCACGGGACAGCAGAGACTGACCGCTCCCTTGCTGGAAGAGCAGCTCGCCTGCGTGTCGGCGCCGACGCTGCTGCTCGGTCGCGCCGCAGCTGAAGGTGTTTTGGCCGCGCTGTGAGCACGGCGGTGTCTGTGTGCTTGTTGTTTCAGATCCCTGTTTGCCCCCGTGTTACCCATTCCTCTCCTTTC